TTTGTTCCAGAGTTGGTTGAACTATTAAGTGCATCCTGTGAATTATCAGCTACCTCGAATAGATTATACGAAACTTCCCTGTTTTTTAGGGTCATTTTACAAGATTCTGTCTTGCCAGTGCTGTTTCATATAGATTATCCAACTTTGATCTATCTAGTATACCCCCTGTATCTGGAAATAGAAGAGACAAATGTTTCAAAATAACATTATTGCAATTGGCAAAGGAAAGTTTCAAAGTGCTACGAGCACAAGAAGGAATATTATTGGTGAATGCAAATGAAAAAAACAGTTTACTTTGAGTAAGCCTGTTTGTATTATAAAAGGCTAAGCGAAGGGCCGGACCACAAGGGTGTATTGTATGCAACCTCACTATTTCCACAACAACCTTATCACAAAAAGTTAAAACTTGGCCTCTCCCACCATAATAACTAGCTTTGGGGTGTGAGTTAACCAGTTACGCCCTAGGTTGTTACTTATTCTTCTTTGTTTGTTCTCTCTCTTCTATTGTGTGCTAAATATCTTCCTCCATTCATTCAGCTCTCTAAGATTCTTTGAGGTGAGTATTATTGATCCGAGAAATGCATACACATCATTCAATACACACAACATTTATATATTGTATATCATCAAAATTCATAATGTTACATTTTCCCAACTGAAGAAAAGCTTATAAAACTAAAAATCAAATCCAACATCATAAGCTGCAACATAGGAAGAACCAAATCCATTACGCCAATGTCTCCTTATTCTTGGCATCTGAAATAGCTGAAAAAAAAAAAAGTGAGTCACACAACTACAAATTTTTTGCCTCTGTTATCACAGTTTCCAATCGATTACTAGCAATTTTTATCAAGGGTTAATAAGCACTTATTTGTAACAATAAAAGCATAAAACCTAAAAATTATTAGTGTAGAGCTTAGCTTGAATACCTGAAGTTCTGAAATCAAATCCTTCTTTACTGGTAACTTGTGTAGATGCGATTATTTCTTCTTCTGTAATTCCTTTGACCTCTCTGCTTCTTTCTCCTTCGTGTGTTAATTTGGTGTTCCAGTTCTTCAATGATTCTTGCAAGCCATTTCATATTTCCAGTTGATATCAAGAAATATATTATGGATAATCCAATACATAGTCCACTGCCATAGCCCATCAGAGCTGCTTTCCAAAAATCATTGAACAATTCAGAATTTCTTTCTTGATCTTCTAGCACAGACCCTGTAAAGTTTGTCTCTGACACAGGATCATTGCCACAACCTTTTGAAACGGGGAATCCACGTAATCCATCATTACCATCAAATGAACTGTTCTCAAAGGTATGAAATTGGGGTCCTTGAGGGATGCATCCTTGGAGATAATTGTGGGAGAGATTTAAGAATTCAAGAGACGTAAGAGAAGCAAGTTGTTGTGGTATCTCTCCCGAAAGCTGGTTGAACGAAAGGTCTAAGGATTCCACTACAGATAAATTTCCAAGTGATAGTGGTATATGACCTTTCAATCCATTATGAGACATATTCAATACCCGAATCGCAATGAGATCTCCCAGAACACAAGGAATATGTCCTTCAAATTTGTTGTTTGAAAGATTGATAACTGTGTACAACGACAAAATTTTCACAACTTCAAGCTTCAATCCCTTTGTTACAACAATTGTCGAGTCTTGGTAATCTCCATGTCCTTCATAACTTGGTACCTTCATTGTTTGATCAATTGTCCTCATGCCTTTCAAATGTTGAAACAGACTCGTTGGTAAGTCTTTCGAGAAGGCATTGTTAGAGAGATCTATGATTCGAAGATCAGGAAACATGATTTCAGCACCTGAAGATCTTATGGGTCCATGCAATTTATTCGATGTCAATCTTAAAACTCTCAGCTCTGGCAAAGTTCCCAACCACATGGGGAATGTGTCATTGAGATGATTATCTCCTAGGTCAAGAACTTGCAGCTTTTTGCAATTGGCCAATGATCGAGGGATTTCCCCCTCGAGTTCATTGCAATGAAAGTTGAGACTTATAAGTGAACTTCCAATGCTAAAATTTGTTGGAAGAGTCCCAGAAAGTTTGTTATTCTGCATATCAAGAGCCTGGAGGCTACTAATATTGCTAAAACATTGTGGAATTGCTCCCTCCAGATGGTTTCTGCCCAAATCTAGAATTTGTAGTGATGTTAAATTGGAAATAGATGAAGGGATCTCTCCACTGAGATTATTATGTGACATCGTCATAACCTTGAGGCGAATGATATTACCCAAACATTGTGGAACTTTTCCTGTCAAGTTGTTTCTCGACATAAACAACGCTTCCAGTGATGTCAGATTGCACACTGATGAAGCAGGAATAGATCCATTAAGAGAGTTATTACCCAAATATAGATTAGTAAGAGACCTCAAGTAACCTATTTCTTTAGGAATAGAACCAGAAAGTTGATTTTGATAAAGAAGCAAAAAAGACAAGTTGTTCAAATTTCCCAATGAAGTAGGAATAGAACCAGTAAGAAAGTTCCTACCCAAAGATAGCTTAGTAAGAGACCTTAGGTAACCTATTTCTTCAGGAATAGAGCCATTTAAATGGTTGTCAAATATACGGAGGATCTGAAGCTTGGCCAGTGAACCGATTTGTGGTGGGATTGTTCCTGAAATCTGATTAATGTTCAAGTCAAGATAGACAAGATTAGTGAGATTACCAACCTCAGGTGGAATGGTTCCCGAGAAATTGTTCATGCTAAGATCAAGACTTTCAAGAAAAGGGAGGGATGAAAACGGAAAAGCATAGAGTGTACCAATGACACTAGAATTTGTAATATTCAACGTGTTTACCCTCCCATTAAAGCATATAACTCCATACCAGTCCTCACATGCATTAAAACTTGGCATCCATGAAGTCAATAAGGAATTATTCTGGTTCTTGAAAGTTGCTTTCCATTTCAAGAGGGCAGTTGCTTCATCAGTGGAAGCAAAAGTAACTGTAAAGAGGTACAAAAGAGTGAAAAACTGAAGCGAAGAGAATGTTTTGCTAGAAACCATCATCATATTTTGAGTTTATTGTTTCGGATTCATAGGATTTGATATTGTACGTAACTTATACTAACTAAAGACCAACAGGAAACGCTTTTTTTCCAAATTTGCTAATTTGGCTGCTATCGGAGAAAAAAATGTTGTCATTCTCTTGTCAAATTTTGGATTGTTTTGTGTTAGAGGTCTAATTCAGGCAAGGACTTAATCAAAGTGGCCAAAATAGTTTTGTTATCACAAATTGATTATGACCATTCTTAGTGTATGATAGAGACATGTCTGGTTCTCAATTCTCATCTCTAGAGTAGTGGACCATATCCAACAATTTTCAGTCTTAGACGTTACGATGATTTGTTATGTCTTTGTTGCAAATTTGGGTTGTTTTGTTTTTGTCTTTGAGAAAATGTTGTCACTTTTCAATCTGTCTTAGCCGTGTTGAGTGTTGTGACGAAAAGATGAAAACGAAAATCTAAAATAAAGAACACCAAGTTTAACGTGGAAAAATCCTTCAAAACGAAGGTAACCACCACGGGATCGACAAGATCCGAATTGCTTCACTATAACAATAAGAGAGTTACAATTATTCTTCTAATGGCTACACAACAAGTGCCAAAAGAGAACAAACAATAGCTACACCAACAAAAGATAAATAGAAAGAAACACCACCCAAACTCAGCTGCTGTTCGGGACCTAAAACAGGATCTTGCTAACTTCCAAATCCGATCTCCACCGTTCAAATCAACCACCAAGATGTC